ACTACAGATCGTCTGCCGTCTTCTTCTCGACGTCTGCTAGCGGTGTCCCTATTTCTTCACAAAACGATGTAAAGACGCTTCTAGAAAATCTAATTGCGTCCTTCGTCTTCGGTGCATCTTTATTTTCTACTAGTGTGTCAAGTTCTTCTTCTGAACTGAAGCTAAATCGTCCAGTCTTTCGAGGCGGACCATCGATATCAGCGACCGAACTAGCAGACGACATATTGGAAATGACACGATCAGATGACGAGTGACGTCATCCCCGGGCACTAGTTGATGTACTAGTCTCCCTTGGGAACTAGTAATTTCCTTGGCGCTACTATGGTAATTTAGCCAATAACACGTGACCCTGTTTTGACCAATTGCAGTACAGTATTAACGAGTGATGTGTTATGACAGTTGATATTATAATTTGATTACAATGCTGCATTCGTCATTGTCCGGACGTTTTCTACGTAGCAATATAAACACACGTTTTATTTTGAATATGACGTATTTTGCCCACAGTTCCCAACATTGGCAACACCAATAATGAGATGAATTGAAAAGAAGCACCAAACTAACACACCGATAAGATAAGTTCTGTGAAATGCATTCTTTTCTACATCTCCTAATTTTGAAATGAAATTTCTGTGTGTTTTTTTATATTTTCAAGCAACGAACAAATCACCAAGTACAGTACAGTAAACCCGACAACGCAAGGCCGTAGGAAGCAAAAATTAGTTGGTCCGGCAATCCATCGAGGGCCGTAGGCGTACACGTGCGCCGAAGGACCATGTCCGCTAGGGGGACGTGCAGAAGTGGTCCTGTCATAGCCGGTATGGCCGGTACGGTTCCTACGGCCTTGGGCAACGTGCTACAGCTTGTAACACACGCTTTCAAAGTTATGCGTGAAAACTTAAACTTTTAGCTCTAGTGTTTTTATTGTGTATATATATAAGATTGCTAATGAAAGCAACTGATGGTAACCGTTAAACTTGATTGACATTTTATCAACTTTCTCAGTAACTGAATGTGAAATATGCTGCTAATGCACTTAATATACGAAAATGTGGAATTCATCTTACAATTTATGGATTGATGAGTGAGTCGCATCAAAAGTTGTCACTTATATTCAAACTTTGATATCAAATGTATTAGATAACATCATCATTGTCTTGTATGTTAAAGGGCGGCAGTCGTCGCGCCGCGTTCTGTTCGATATGAGACTCATAGCGACATATACAACGCGTGTAAAATACTTTTTACTTTTATTTACATGAAATTTGAACACGCGCTGCGCGACGACCACCGCGCTTTAAGATTCCTTCTCCTAATTACATTCCGATTGGGATAACAAAACAACATAAAGTGTGCCACAAAAGATATTACACTTAGAATTGTTTGTGTGCATTCAGAAAGTTTGAAAAAAAAAAAAGAACAATGCATTAATCTTTTTGCTTAAAGAATTTAAGAAGCCGGAACTGTGGACAGTACTGACAGCATGTTGTTACCAACGGATGGTTAAACACGCACGATAAGGGTGATATTTTTTATTTATCTATCTCAGCCTTCTAATATTACTATCTTTAGTACTTTTGAGTTACTTCATATTTGTATATCTTCTCTGTTGCGTTTGTTGCTCTCGTTTCTAATATTCACTTGTCAAGATATCCGAAATTGGCTTTGCTGTCAGTCTACTCGTGTTCTGTGTCACGACTTCTCCTTCACGATAGCCAGGATCTCAAATTACTCTGTAAGTTGAACACTTCACAGCATCTATTTCTGTCTGTCATCAGCATACATCACATCACCTGATCGAATGTTCCATTTGTAAATTGTTATATCCTTATTAGCACCACAGTAAAGACAGTTTCTGTTTACGACTTTGTGAAAAGACTGAAAACATTTGATTTTGACCGTAATATTGAGAATATTTCATAACGCAATGTATTTCATATTCGTACCAATATTAATTTTCATAATTTCCGATAACATGTGATAATTCAAAACATTATTTGCTATACTTTCAATATTTTGGCATTATATTTGTCTTGAATAAGGGATTGGTCAGTTACTTCGGCCTAGGGGGGGTCGGTGGATCAGTAGGGGGGGTTACCCTGTTTTTGATTGTGCGAATAGGGGGGGTCACCCTGTTTTTGATATCATGTTTTCCAGAATTCACACACGCGCTCATGCATATATTTTTAAAAATTTTATTTCAGAACAAACGATAAAAAAGTTAATCGTACAAATGTG